TGGTTCCATTGTAACAATTCTTCGAAAGCAACGAACTCGAAAAATCGCTTTTTGGAGGATTTTTGCTTTATTCTTGGGCAGGGTCAAGTGTGCGTTGAGGAATCCTCGACACGTCGCAGGGGGGGTCGTATTGGCCCGCTGGGAGGAAGGGATCGGGCCGGATTGATGCACCACTGTCGGAGGACAAACATCAGGGATCGAGTCGATGCCATGGAAGGCCAGAGGACTTCCAGTACCAATGCTGTTCCGCCCACATAAAATTTTCGTGATTCAGAGGTGTGCGCGTAGTGATTTTTCACTACCTCAGAGTTTTATCTTTAAACTATCACTAACAAGTCAAAAAATCCAAAATTCGCACGTTTTCCAACGGATATTTTATCTTTCAGGTGAGTCCTCGAATCTCAAGGGATGTGAAGCACACGGCGCATACCAGAGTGGGCCCAGTTAGTTGCGCGCGCTTTAACTACGGCTCTTGAGAGAAAAACTCTCAATTCAGAGAAAAATTAAGAGGATCCTGAAAGGGTCTGTGTGAGATTACATATGCAGCGAAAAAGTGACTTTCGGCGGTACTCGGGCAAAAATCCTCAACGTGGCCATTTTTAAATTGTGGACGTTTTTAGCAGTCCTAGTAACCGTTGAATAGTGCAATTCTTCTAGTTTATGCTGACGTATTTACTTTTCAGATTGGATGGGTTTGAACGTAGTTATGGCCTTGGAAAGCGTAAAAACTCGCACTCATCGCAAATTTTTCCTCGTTAATTTTGCAAAAATCCTCAACGTGGCCATTTTTTGAGTACTGGACGTATGAAGCTGCTTCGTATAGCATACATTATACAAAGTGGTTTTTTTAAATAGTGGACGTATAAAGCTGCTTTAGCAACCGTTTGATAGAGAAAATCTTCTAGTTTTGTCTGACATATTAACTTTTCGAATTTGACGAAAATGAAGCAAGTTATTGCTTCGGAAAGTGTAAAAACTCGTGCTCATCATGAATTTTCCTCGTTAATTGATCTAAATTTGTTATTTCTTATAAATTTTTGTAATTTCAATACTGATTAGAAAGAGCTCTTCACAAAACTCCAAAGATTGAAAATTCGTCATATTTGAAGAAAGTTATAATCATTTGAATATTTGTTCAAATTTCAATAGTAAATAAGCTGCTCCACGGTCAACGCCAAAGATCAGTCAGCACGCAGCTGGCTAAGGACGGTTAAAAAGCTTCTTTCAACTGAAGGGGGACGTGTAAATTGATAACCGTACTCTGTGTAGTACTAAATTTTGGTAAGTCTTGTGAAGGAAATAAATAAAGAAGAGATGTTGTCATAGTATGCATTTTTAGTGAGTAGTTTGAGGTTTTCTGCTGCTTTTTTCGTTTGCTCGTTTGGTAGGACTCATCAATAATGATTAATTTTTTGACTTTTCACTTTTGTACTTTTTAAAAGAATTTTCGGTTGACGGTGTGATAGCAGGGCTTTTTTATGAACAGTTTTGGGGGAGAATTAAACAACCTTTTCATAGTTCGGCTTTTGAAGAGGGTCGTTTCATGGACTTCGGCCTCTGGCAGAGGGAGGGGGGGTCGTATTTCCAAATTTTCCTCGACGCCTCGCTTGACCCTCTGTTCTTGGGTGCTCGGTTTCTGGTAAAGTTCTTAGTAGACTACTCGTGTGGCTTTCTATCCACTACAGATTGGAGTCTTTAGAGTGTCTGGCTGGGTTTTCACATCAATTTTTTCATTTTGGGTGTACGAAAGTCGACAAGGGGAGACCTAGTTTCTGCATCTGATAATTATCCTGGTGGTAACTGTAACTTTCGAGTCCCCGAATTTTCCATCTGTGGTGGTTCCAAACTTATTGAAGAGTTGAACTGTTGCTCATAAGGGCTTCTCTGATAGGTTAGACTGCTGCTAGATGTAACGTGCCAGAGCCCCTAGTGAGTTCAATTTGAGGACTGACTCAAAGTGAAGTAGTTATTTCACTAGTTTGAGAACTTCATGAAATTTGGTTTCATTAGGAAGAAGACATTGTACCCTTTCACATAGTGCACAGAAAACGAGATGAAAATGGAGCGATACGGAAAAAAGTGGATATGACTGCGCGCGCACGCGGTCCTCATAATTTTGGACCACCCTGTAAAATCCTGGCACGGGTTCTTGTCAAATACACGCACTCGTCTTCCTCTTTAATGATACACAAAAAAAAAAAAAAAAAAAAAAAAATCACAACAGTGGTTTTGATTTTTCTCGTTTGCTAATCGTAAGACAAATCTCTATGTTTCCAGCTGCTCGATGTGAGATGATGTCTTCGTAAATGATAATAATTCACGCGGCATTACGATAATTCAATGGTGAGTGGCACGTTGAAGAACGAACGCATCTTACGGGCTTCACTTTTTGCCCATTCAATGCTGACACTGAATAGGTCAACTATAATGTATGCTATACGAAGTTATTACGCGTTTCTCCGCCTTGGCTCTTACTCCTAGCCATACTCTAGCATAACTTTTACTCCTGAGCATAGATTTATCTATTTATTTACTCAATTGTTCTTGCCATAATTTCCACAACGATGAGGTAGCAAGATAGCACACTTCTTCAAATACTCCCAATTTTCCATGAATCAAAGGCATAATTGGGGATAAGCCATGAGTCGACAGAGGGCAAGTGCAGTGCTCTAGCCTCAATAGTGTTACTCTTCCTTCACCACGGATTTTGTGATGGAGTTGGAGGTGTGGCCGTGTCAGGTTAGACCTAAAGGCAAGCTCCGGGATGGATAGATGTGGAAGAGTGCTTAAATAACAAGCTAGAGGTGTGGATTTGGTCGTCAAGGATGAGGAAGCAACACAAACCCTTTTTTACGCAAAGCTCCAAGTAGCTTCAGTGCAACCTGACGACGAAAGGCCGCTACTTAATCAGCAAATGCGCGGGTTTTTAAGGCAAACGCTGTAGAAAGCATTGTAAGTACGTACGTTCGCTGTGGCACTCCCCTTTTTTACGCGTTATGCTTCAAGAGCCCCTCGCGTGGTAAACCCCGGAATTAACCCGACTTGTGGGAGGACACCGCGACGGGAAATTGTAAGGTCCCTACCTACCTAGATCACTCCAGCTTCGCCGCAAAAGTTGCGCGGTTAGGCGCTAATTCCTTACGGGCCTGCAACCATCGACCCCCGTTGCAACGCTTCCCACCCACCTCGATATCGGCGTGCTCTCTCGAACGGCGTTAACTCTCGTGTGTTTTGTCTTCTCTGCCGCCCTGTCTCGCCGTTGTACCTCCAACCTTTCTGAAGGTTGAGGCCTTATTTCAGCGATCCCCGGATCTTATTTATCTTTCCTTCCGCACTTTCGACTGTCCCGCAGCTCAGTTAATCACCTACGATGAGTCTCGTTAACACAAGTTTTATCGCTGGCTTGCGCGTGGTAACTGACACGAAAGGCGGGGCCGCAGACGGAGGTGCGTCGAGCGAATGCTACCGCTTCTGTCACGCACTTTCGAGCCACAAAAGGGGCGCGACATCAACGCCAGTCTGCCTGTCTACTACGCTCGGGTATGCAACAGGTGAGCGTGCCTAATCCCGGAGCGTTATTCATCTGGCACTATCACTGGCGCTATCAAGTGTGACAGCTACAACGAGGCAGAGGCTAGGCCGGTCTTGAGGGGGACGGCTAAAGCCGGAGAACCGTCTGCTTCTCTTCACAGAATTACATACTGCGCGTTTCAGAGCACTAATCCTTCAGTAGTATTATCCTGCATCTTTGAGTGTTACACCAAAGACAAGGTCTACAATATCTAGTCGGGTTAACCTTTACTTCGAGAAAAATGCAGTGGTAGACAAGCAGGGATATGCAACAAAGTATCGGGATGATCTACAAGGTCGAAGCGCAAAGGCACCAGGACGCCGAACTGGCTTCGCCCAATACCACCCACAAATTTCGATATCCCTCGTTGGTCCTGGAGAGAGGAATTTTATTTGTCCTTGTCGACGGTTTCCTAGCGTTTTTTATTACTAGCATTACGCATCAGGTCTCCACTACCATTTACAAGCGTAATAACACACTAATTTGACCCCAGACTTTGCCTTTACCCTCGGTGACGCCTTTCCTGATAACACGTATTCCATCCATCCTTTTCTTAGGAACCACTCGTGGTCGCTTACTTGCTCTTCGAAGGTCAATGTTTTCTTTATTGCGAGGAAATAATCATAGGAAATAAAATCTGCTCACTACGGTGGCTCCAACCTGAAGCCTTGTAACACATCCAGAGAGGAAAGGAATGTTTAAAGCTCTCCCAGGATTCACATTGGTGTGGCTATCGCCCGTGAATGCGAATGTTCTGGTGCGAAGTGGACCGAGATGGGAAAGAAAAAAGGGAAAGAATTTGTCAAAAACGCTCAGGTTAAGGGCAACCCTCAATCCTTTCTAATCGGCCCACCTGTGCTAAGAGAATGGAGAAACTGTCGCGAGGAGAACATGTAGGCGAAGAGAATCAGAATAGAGAGTGCCCGACGAGCGCTGATGAGAGAGCACCAGACAGCAGCTGATAAGAAAAATCTGCAGCTTGAGCAGCTTACTTTGCAAGGCCCAAGCGCTCTTGTCGGTTGGTTTCCGTGCACGGAACGCCACATTTGTGATTGTCCTCTAGGGTCTATACTACAGACCGAAGAGAAGCGTTCACACGACCTCTGCCTGGGTTGTGCCTTTAAGTATGGTAGATTTTGATGAACTGGAAATTGACATTTCAAGAAGATTTCAATATTCTTCACTCCAATGTGGAAGATCACTACCAGCTATCTTCTCTAGCGGAATCTTGCGAATTACGGATTAGTCCGTAATTCGGAACCCACTTAGTCGTTTCCGTTACATGGCAGGTATAGATCGCGTGATTCGCCTCCTTGCTTCAGCTTCCCATACCTCGATTTCCATCATATCAGCAGGTCCTCATCTGGGCACGACCAGCAGACAACCACTTCTCTGTTATCTACCATTTTGCTACAGAATATTATTCGCCATGTCCTCGACAAAGCTTCAAGGCATCAATCCCAGAGTTGGTAAGTGTGGTTTCCCATACCGAAGCACTCCTCAGCGTCAAAGTGATTTCAGAAGTAGACGCCCTTCACAAAGAGATAGCACGCTTGACACTTGACCAACGGTCTATGATTCGCTTCTCATACAGCTTCATGGAAGCAGAAGCAACAAGAAATGGACTCGGTTTGTTTGTGAGGTAGGGAAAATGATCGTCCTGGAAAACACACTAGCAGTACTTCTGTTGTGTAGGAATTTGTTGTAGCCTGTCCAAGATTACAGTAGCTTTTATTAGGCTTACGTTTCGGCCTCTTCGCCTTCGTCAGAGCCTGAAAAGTCGAAAAGCAATTGAGACCGATCCTTTCATGAGCCAAGCAATCCTGAAGACAATTTCTCCAGAATAGTAAACCAACAGCCGACATCGATTGTTCCAAGGGTGCTACAAGGTTTACCTAGATGTTCATCTATTGATGAATACCGAAATCGCTAGAATCAATAATTCGTGCTGACCTTGCGACGATGTCTGCTTATCTCGTGATTTCAAGGGATTTGAAAAAACATCCTGAGCCCTTTTAGAGCCACTAGTAATCTCCTTAAAGCAATTGGGGAATTAGTTTTAGTGATGCGTTGTATATACCAAAAAGTAATCACAGCATAAGAAAAAGAATGCCGTCGGTGTTGTTCCTTTCGAGGCGCGCCATGCACCCTATGAAGCAAATGTTTTTGAGAACTTGTCAAACATGCAGATTGCAGCTCCTCCTTTCTTGAAATATGATATGCTCGCAGTAATAAGCTAAATATTACAGGCTTATAGTAAAGCGTAATAGCACTGGATTAGGTGTAGCGACAGTTATTTGGCTCAAAGCCGGATGTTATTGAAAAAAATATTGAAATTGAATTTGTAGATCGAAGCAGTCATCGTTTGAAATGGAGCCTTTTCTTATCACAGCCCATCGCCACCTCTTCATAATCTTCTCTGTTTCCATACCCTCCTCGTGTACATTCCCTCCGTCCAGTTCTTACCCATAGTTCCATATCTGATGAAATTCCCTCACAGGGCTTGTGGGAGTAGCTAATGTACATTTCAGTTATTTTTCTTCGCCGAAATATTCTTCGTACACCATTAACTGCATAGCCCGGAAGAATGCAAGACTACATAGTTGGCGTGGATAAACACAATACCGATCTATCCTCCGTGAACTGTCGCCGCAGGATAAGACAGCATCCTTAGCCACTTTGCAACGTCATACCTTCTGCCTTTGACTTCTGCTTATTGCCCATCGTTACAGGGAGGGGGGAGCAAAAAAAGTCACTTTGCCCATGCCGAACATCATCAATTTTTTCTTGCCACTGCTGATAAATGCTTTACAGCAGAATATTCTCTAGATGTCCTTTCATAAGCAGAAACAGGCCCTCCCTCCATTGCTCTCGTCATTTCCAGAATATGACGTCATTTGCCACCACATTCGAGCTCAACTAGGTTTACCGTAATCGCTCCGGCATGAAGCTGCTACATAATTTCTTCAATGGATTAACTGTTGAATAACTTCCTAGAGACATTAGCTGTGGCTATGTGAGATCGTCTTTGGCCAGAGTTTCAGGGGCCTCGTAATGGTCTATAGTACCTCGGTGACCTCGCTCGTTGAGCTCGTATCGTAAATCATTTTTTCCGTGGGAAAATCTTCTTATGTAGTTGGTGTAGAAGGCTGTTATGTAACTTTTTTGATAGATTAGAATGTGCTCCTTGAATCCAGTCAGGGCTCGCCTGGTTTGGTCTCGTAGCAGATGATCAATTCCGCTTCGGACATATGGAGAGGAACGTGCCTCAATCATTTGCTCCCCCCCCAGGTGTATATACAGGGGTGGCCAAAAAAAAGAGACACTTAGCCCATAGCCCAATCGAAGTTTTTGTTGCACAGGAAGCCGGTGGTAATGAAAGTTCCAGGCGGGATATTCCTTAGGTGTTCCTTCCCGTAAACAGAAGCAGGCCCACCTTCACTGCCCTCCACCGTCTCCAGAATATGACGTCATCTGTCATCACCGTCGAGCTCAAGGAGGTCTACCATAATCGCTCCATTCTGAAGCTGCTACATAATTTCTGCAATCGGATAACTGGTGAATGGCTTCTCAGGGTACACTAGCTCTGACCATGCGAACCGCTTTTGACCTGCGTTTCAGAGACGTCGTAATCGTCTATGGTATCTCAACGACCTCGTTGAGCTCGTACCGTGCACAATGCTTCCGTGGGAAAATCTTCTGATGTCGTCGGTGTAGAAGGCTGTTGTGTAGCTTGTTGATAGATTATAACGTGCTCTTCAATATTCAGTTGGGTCATTTGGTTTGGTTTCGCGACGCGTAAATAATTCCGTTTTGAATGTTGAGTGAAGTGTCTCTTTTTTGGCCACCCCTGTATAGTACTATGTCTGTTAAGGAGGTGTCTGGATTTCGTCGTGGATATGAAACTCTCCTTTGAGGCGTCTCTCACGACAGCAAGATGTATGTCTTGGAGAACCTCAAATCACTCTATATTCATACCACAGTCGAAGCAAACACATACTTTCCGTGTGTTTACAGGCCCCGCCGTCGTTTTACGTGCCAATTGGAACTCTTGATGACTTCTATAGGCAGGACGGCGAAAACCAGTAACAATGCACACAAAGGGCGCTCGGCTATGCGTTGCCTGCAAACCACTTTGACCTAGAACTGTCCAGGTCTGATTAACCCTCGAAAAGTTGGAAAAGTTAGGTCAGACTGGTTGATGAACGAATCTAATGCCACATTCCAATGTTCTAACCAATATTGATGTGGAGCATTTGTTAGTAAATCACTGGAAAATTCAGCACCGCAAGCGCGTCATTGCGGGCATCGAAAGATCGCGACTATCGTCGTCGACTGGGCCTTCGAACAGGAATAAGGAAGTGAGCGCATCCATCACGCTATTACTGTGACTCACACCCTCGCCTAAGGAAGTAACGCCCGTTTCCTGATTGACATATAAAGCATGCAGATGCACAACAAGTCGACGTCGATAACCCGTAGATCTTTGTCGCGCTTTTCTGACTGTGGCGGAAGTGATGTAGTTATTGGCATGTGGTGCTGTCCGGGGATAGAACTTGGCATTGTACGCCGACTAGGCCAAACGGCGAAAGTGGATTTGGGGGGGGGGGCACTCCGTTATGCTCTCCATTACTAACCATAAGAATCACAATAAAAGCGCTCATGACACGTAATCGACTCATTTGAAATGTACATTCGAAAACTACCAGTATAGTGGGGAAGTATCCCTGGGCTGCCTTCACATTTGGACCCCACATTTTCACATGGTTCTGCGAGACGGTCCACAACCAGATGAGTGGGTATCTTGCCTAGGTCTAATGCTAAGGGCGGGGAAGCCTCAGGGTGGATGACGAGGTGCTTGGATTGGGTCCTATATTGGTAGGATACGTGGGATGTGGGACGTTCACCGGCCCACGTCAAAAATACGCTTCACATGAGTTGCTTACTCGAAGACACAACTCAGGCAGAACAGTTCCCTTCGGTCTGTAGGATAGACCCTAGAGGACAATCACAGATGTGGCATTCCCGTGCACGGAAACCAACCGACAAGAGCGCTGGGCCTTGCAAAGTAAGCTGCTGAAGCTGCAGATTTTTTCTTTATCAGGCTGTTGTCTGGCGCCCTCTCATCTGTTGCGCTCTCTCGCCTCATACTCTCCTCTCCGCGCTTAGTCTCTCATTCCCTTAGCACAGCCGATTACGAGCCCTTAACCTGAGCGTTTTCGACGGATTCTTTTCCTTTTTTCTTTACTGCCGGCCCACTTGGCACCAATACATTCACATTCGTGTGCAAGAGCCACACCAATGCGATCCTGGGGCATGCCTTTAATGCATTCCTTCCAGTGATTGAGAGACAAAGGATTGCTCCCTAGTAACAACGATAAGATGTCGAAGAGTGCTCCCACTTCTTCCCAGACTCCACTCGAACTAGTCAAGAAGAGAAAACCGACCTTCTGTTCCGAACAAACAAACTTCGCGCTTGCTTTAAAGGAATCCTCCACGGAAAAAGCTCCGCCCTCATTACCACAGAAAACGATACCTTAAAGGAATCTTCCACGGAAAGAGTGATCATTTTGTCTTGTGTGTAGGATTAGTATTATCGAAACTAACGCTTATGTTCCGTTCTTTTTGCTATGCTCATGAGGCTAGGGGCCTAAGGGGTATCGTTTTTCTGTGGTAATGGAGGCGGAGCTTTTTCCGCGGAAGATTCCTTTAACACTTGTTTGGACCGTTTCTAACGCGTATATTTTGGCTGACCCTTGTCAGTTTCATTATACTCGCAGATCCAGAGATCCCCAAATTTTCATGAGCCAGAAGAGAATGCGAGGCGCATCTCAAAAGGGATTGATAAACGCCGAATATTCAATACCATAATGAACATCTTTCAGGTTGTTTGCTGAGTTTCCACAATACAAGACGATTTGGCCACAATTTCGCCAGATTCCAGACAGCGCCCTCATTTCTTCAGATAAATTGAAAAATCATGCCACGGTGTATATGGCAGGCCTAAAGGTGACATCAGCCTTCACCGCCTTCGAAACTTCACGGAACTTTTCTTCTTCTTTGGTCGCTTAAGAAATAAAAGGTACAACATTGAAGGAAATCGTGGACGTCATGGACGACAACGAAAAGCTGATCGTGGCAACTCGACGAATCGCCGCCAGTCACTGTAAATGGAGCATCTGCAAATTTCACATCCAGGTTATTTTGGGAAAATGATCGGGGGGCTGAAACTCATCAAAGTTTCATTTGCAGCACATGGTGCCCGGTCTACTGGAGGTGTTGAATATCTGCATGGGTGGTCAGATAACTCCAGAGATATCACGTGCATGGGAGACGCTCTACGACATCATTGGAAATATGATTGGTCTTCAAAAGGGTGTAAGAAGGCCGGACATCTAAGATATCACTTTTCTTTCATTGACCTATCCAGATTGCGAGTCGCGTCACAATTTTTTCGCCAGCAAAGCTCGTAAAACACGAGTGGAATGGCAGTCAATAACTCAGGGCATTATTTTTGGGAAAGGAATCAGTAGGCTTGGCCACTTCTCCCCCGCCATTGCTAGAAGATTTGGCTTGTAACCCACTACATTCAAACCTGCCACCAATGACGTCTCCAAGTTGCCTCCACCTCCAAGTCATAGTGTCCATTGTCTTTAAGTCAGGGTTTCTTCTTCTCGTTTTGACTGCACTTCATCGTTTCAACTTTTCTCTCCTGTTATCCTGGCACTCACATGCCCTGTTGCACTTATTGCACATATTTTAACTTTGTGCTACGATTATAAATTGTCTACAACACTGAATGCAATAATAAGCCAATCAATAATTGTTCTCGCAATATTTTGTCTCAATTTCCATATCTACAGAATAACAAATGTATGAAAGCTTGAAGGTCATCATTTTCTTTTTGTTATATCCTGCGTATCCTGGTTCCACTGAGAAAACTAATGAATTTGAAATGATCAAATAAAAAGCTGTAGTTTTATCGTTCCATTCAAATTCGGTGAAATAATCGAGAGTTGAAAGGTCCGATTAGTCTGGAGGAAATTGCGCTGAAATAAATCTCGTACCGTGCCCACAATGTGCAGCGCCCCTTTCCGGTGAGCCGGCTTCGTCCACTGCGTTTTATACAGAGGAGTAATGGTTAGTTTTACTTTTTACTTTTTCAGAAATTCTGTCTGATCATAAGGAAGCAGGAAGGTGAAAGAGCAGCACATCCGAGACATTTTTCATGCTAGACCTTCCCAATATTCACTATTAGGACCCATTTGAGTGACTTGAACGCGATTAAATCCTTTGCGTAAAAGGCGGGGTTTACGCGTGATTGGCAGTCCATAAAAATTAAAGTAGGGATGGTTAGCAGTGCCGGGACGAAGAAAAACATGAGAAACGACCCAAAACCCAAGAAATAGGAACTTCTCTCTCCCTGTTGATTTCCGAATTAATGTGACTCGTATCGGTGCTGTCCCCAAAAACAAGTGGTTTATCTTTTGTGATCATCTCTCCTGGTATATTCGCATCATTTCGTTTTGTTTTTGAAAAATTTGTTAGGAATTAGCTCGAATTTTAGGCGTGATAAGGTGCTTTGTCCACGAAAGTGACCGCATTTCTTTGAAAAAATTATCCCTGAGAAGATGAGAAAATCAACCAGGCGTACATTCCTAACTTAGTCATGACTTGTTCTTAAATTCTACTAGTTTTTCAATGTCTCGGCTATAAAAAATTTCGACCTCGATCTCAGGTAATGGTGCTTGACCGTCGAGTTCTGGTTGAAAAACCAGGTCTGGAAAAGGAGCGACGCGACTTGTTCGGGAAGTCTAATAGTGGAAAATGATGTGATTAAGCCGATGATCAATAATTGACTGATTCCTCGTTGAGGAACATACAGTTCGGGCCAGTTGTCGGTTTGGCTATTTTTCGTCGACTGGACCTCTTTCGCAGGCCTTAATTCAAAAACCCTGCAATGAATGTCAAAAATGAGCAAAGTTTTTTTTGAGCAGACAATTCTGTTCCAAATAGTGTGCGGCGTGGTGCAAATACTTGGAGACTTTACTTATGAGACAACCTAACACTATAATATAATATTTAGTTCCATTGGTAGTGAGGTGTTCCTGCAGTCGCGGAGGCGTAACGATCGTCATAAGCATACTTCCTTCCGTAGAAAAGCCAAGGTGAATCTAGTGGAGTATAATACTTGGTCGCATGCGCTGCGTTGATTCAAGGGTTCCTAATATTAATTGTAATTGAACAAGGCTTGAAACCGCTTATACGAGTTTTTTTTTACGTAGGACCATGACCTCCCATTCGGCAGAATCTATCGCCATGTCTTGGTTAGCCAAACATTTATTCCTAGAAGGTAGTTAAGTAAGATCGCTAGTCCTAGAAGAAACAAAAACAGTATGCCTTGCGTTAGCATCCATATAAGCGAGTGTGGAGTTATGGGAAAAGAAGCGAGCGCGCGGCGTCGTCATCCTACTGAACATTGGCATATTGATCAAAACAGAATTTATTGAGCCCTCGAGTAGATTCAAGTGATATGTAAACAAAAAGCAAATCAATATGTTAACAAATACCAAAACAACACAACCGTAATTCCGACTCGGAAAGAAAAGCGCCTCAAAACCATGCCACAAGTCTCACCTCATCTAACTATCAAATATGGAATGTAAGGATATCTTTTTTGTTGTAGTTCCTAGTACCAGCACAGTTATCGTTCGAATGCAACAAAGTAATTGAAGGGAAGTTGCGGTAGTTAGAAATTCTCAATCAATAGTGCCAGAGATCGTGAAATTTTCAGTACCTTCAGACAGATGCATGATCAATATGAGAAGCGTTGTACTGAAGTTAAGAGTTTTCAAAAATCTTCGAAAACAAATATTAACACATTCACGACGACGCCCCTTTTCCACTTTTCGGTCGCGTGGGACGGACGCGATTTTGTGGGCGCCGCCGCCTCACCACATAACCGCAGATTTTGTTTTGTAAATGAACAAAAACATGAATGTCACAAAATAATTTCTGCAATGTCCAATGCGTAAGATTATCTAAACATATAACAGTAGGATTTCGATCAGAACGACAAATAGTGGTTACGAAAAGAGAGCATTTATTCACTTTCCCCGTGAAGGAATTTAAAAGCATTTTACACTCGATTACGAGGTTTGCCCACCTATCTGTCCATTCCTAGCGCCTGGCAAGCGATTATCAGTTGGCAGCCCATATGGGCTTGGCCATCGGCGTGAAGTCCTACGTACAGCGCACCAGGCCAGTCACTCAGGCAATCTTAATTCCGGCGATTACCCAGCTCATTAGCTTTTATCGCTGTCTTCTCGCGAGTTCCAAGGAAAGCACTTCCGATCTCGTTCCGCCTCAGAGTTTTCTTGTTTTCACCATTAGAACAATCTTCTTAAACAGAAACGAAGAAAAAGTGAGGGTGATATTAGGTGAACCACCTAGATTTTATGGCCAATAGGACCATTGTCTATTGCCACTTTATCCTTCCAAGGTGCTCCAACAATCATAGTGGAACTTGAAACGAGAGCATCCACAATGCGTTCCCTCTCACGGTCATTACCAGCCGATGCGGATACTTATTGTTAACAGTCGTCAGCACGGGGCAGAGAGGATGTGATTGCGGTATTCAATGGTAAGACCTAAGCTCACGAAGACTGGGTTAATCAAGGAAAAAACAGGAGGTTAGTGTTTCTTCAGCTCTTCTTCATCAGATCAGATCACCACTGCTCTCACAGGCCCATCACCTCTTCCGCTCACCAGTCCTCCTTCTCGAGGGAAAATTTTATAGTACTAAGTCGGTCTTAAATCCAGCATATACCCTTTTTGTTCGGTCAGCAAACCATAGGATTCTATCAGTTGATACAACTTCTCGTGCATCGCACATATGTATGTGCAAGATAGTTGTGACTATGAGTGAATGGATCTGATAAATAATAAAAGAATGGAGTCAAAACAAGCAAAAATTAGTCAAAAATAATGAGCAATTATGCCCACAATAGATAAGTCCGAGAAATAATAAAAGAAAGGGATCGAAAGAGGTCAAAATTGGTCAATAAGTCGAAGCAGTCAGGATTCATGCTCCAACCTAATATTTTTGCACGGCCATCTGCTGATCCGCATAGTTTTGATCCAAGGGTGGCAGTCGAGGATAGACAGGCAGTGATCGTTGCTGAGGTTGTAGCGGAGGCGAAAGTGGAGGTGCTGAGGGTTGAATAACCTGAATGGACAGAAGACCGTCAACGTGAAGTTCAAAACAGAACGAGAGCGAACTATGCAAAAATTATTAATAATAAATTTATGAGCCCCACCTGAACGACCACGACACCAGGTGGTAACGGGATAGACGGGTTTCTTATCGGGTTATGGTAGTTAGGCCCATCCAGTGCAACGTTCAGCCGGGCATCCACACGATTTCCCCAATCGCTATCCAATCCTTGACCATACACATTATTTGGATAAAAGGAAATAGGACACGGAAGTTCCTGGACAGGGTGAGAGTGAAGAGTTGTGATGGATTGCTGTTGCTGCAGGACTTGGTCATTGGAGTACTGCGGGGGAGAGTTAGGTTGATTCTCA